ACATTTTGATTACCTGGACTATAATATTCTTAGAGTGTATATGTAACAGATTTTAAATCAAGTAATTAACAGTTTGCCAAGTGAAGGGAAAAGAGGGAAAATAGGAAAAAACAAGAGAGGAGCAGGTTTTAGACAATTAAGAACTGTCTCCCTAAAGTGCTAATTATCTTTCTTCTGCAAATAAAAGGAAGTTTAGATGCAAAAAAGCTTATACAATCACTCATTACTGTTGATACTGTCACTGCTGCTACTGCTGCTAAGTCACTTCAGTCGTGTCCGACTCTGTGTGACCCCATAGACGGCAGCCCACCAGGTTCCCCCGTCCCTGGGATTCTCCTGGCAAGAGCACTGGAGTGGGGTGCCATTGCCTTCTCCGTGTTGGTACTGTAGTCCTTCACAATTAAGCACACTTCATTTCTGAAATAATTTTAGAATACAGCTGCAAGGGTACTACAGAGAGGTCCCAAACACATTTATTTCCCCTATTGCTAACATCTTACATATAATCATGGTACATTTGTCAAAATTAAGGGAGTTAATAATGGTCCATTACTATTAACTACACTTGAAACTTTATGTGGATTTCAGCAGTTTTCCCAGTAATATCCATTTTCTATTTCTGGATCTGGTTTAAGATAGCACCTTTTAGTCATCATGTCTCCTTAGTGTCCTCCTGTCTGTTAAGTTTTGAGGAGTACTGATCAGGTATTTTAAAGACTGTCCCTTGATTTTCTTTTAGGTGTTTTTTTTTTTTTTTCATATTTACACTAGATTATAGAGTGGAAGGAATATCACAGAGGTGAAGTACCCTGCCCATGACCTTGAATCAGGAATATACAGAATATCTATAGCCTCACATTAGTAATATTTACTTTGACCACCTGGCCAAGGTACTGTTTGCGTTTCTCCACCCTAGTCTTTAAAAGTTAGTCAGTCCATATTCAAGGAAGAGGGGAGTTCAGGTCTTACTCCCTCCCCCACCCTGCCCCCCCCACTTCAGGAGGTATCACGTTAAGTTGAATAGTGTTCCCCCCCAAAGATATCTACGTTTTGAATCCCCGGTAACGTTGTATTTTATGGCAAAAGGGATTGCACGCATGTGAGTAAATAGAGGCTGTTGTAGGCAGAGAATATCTTGGATTATCCGGAGGGATTCTAAATAATTAATTACAAAGATCCTTATAGGACGAAGGAGGAAGGTCAATAAAGACAGAAATGATGATGTGATGAAGGAGACAGGTTGATGTGGCCAGAAGCCTACTAACAACATAAAAGAAGGTGGTCAAACAGACAGAGGACTGGCTTTAAAGCCAAATTTCTACATGAGAACACTGAAGTTGGATCAGAGTCTTTAAATTGCTGCAAAGAAGTAGTAAACTTAGAACGGTAATGTTTTACCATCAGGTTGGCAAAAACTATGGAAAAAGGTTATATTTGGTGATGGTATGTGGGGACATAAATAGTTGTTAGGAATACAAATTACCCTGACTTTTAAGGAAAATATTAAATGTGCAGTCTTTGACAAAGTAAGCCCATGTTTAGAAATCCCTTTGATAGAAATGAAAGCTCAAGTTCATAAAGATAAATGTAGAAGGATGTATACTACAGCATTCATTATGCAAATTACAATGCTACCTATTTTGTTTTTAATTTGGTGCAAAAAGATGTTGTAAGTATCATACTTGCTTTTGAACCATTTATTTCTCCCCATAGCTAATCCATCAGCAAATCTTATCTTCTTTACCTCCAGAAACTGTGTTCTAGATCTGTCCATTCCTCTTTGCCAATATTATTTTACTGGTCAGTAAACACAAATCAATATATTTTTATATATTACAATTATATAATATTGGTGGTTTTGCATATACCACAATTTAAATATTCTACTATTATTTTAAATCTTTTACTATCATAGTGAATAGGTGCTATTAATTACAGTAGGGTGTTTAATTTTAAAAAGGACTGCATAAATGTTGATAAATGCAAACAATATTTATAATTTTCTCTACAATCACTAGATTACTTTGGTTTTATTAGCAGAGGTGATCAGGTGAAAACCATGCCCAGATGAGCACTGGAGAAAACATTCCTAAACATTTTATACATAAAGATAATTTTAGTCCTGGACACTAACTGCAGTCTAAAATAATGTTTCCTTTCTTTGTTGTAAAGTTATCTCTTCCACGTTGATACTTTGTAAATCTTAGTTTTTTGGTTTTTTTTTTTGGTAAATCTTAGTTTTAAGACTTCAGGCTTCACTGATATGCAAGTTGATCAGTGAATTTTTAAAATCACTGAACATTGAAGGCTCTTGTTATGTTTTTATTATCTATAGCACAAGGTCTATCCTCTCCTTAATCATTTTTAATTTCCACTCTTAGAATTTCTTTAGCACTGCTCTTCCTTAAGATCAAAAGCATAGACAGGCAGCATTCTGGTGATAATTCATGGTGTAGTATTATTTGTTCGGGCTCCCCATGGTGGCTCAGTGGTAAAGAATTTGCCTGCCACGTAGGAAACTTTGGTTCAATCTCTGAGTTGGGAAGATCCCCTGGAGAAGGAAATGGCAACCTGCTCCAGTATTCTTGCTTGGAAAATTCCATGGACAGAGGAGCCTGGTGAGCTACAGTTAATGGGAAGGCAAAGATTCAGACACGACTGAACGACTAAACAACAACAACAAATTATCTGCTTACAAAATTCTTTCCTCATTATGTTCAACATTTTGTTAGCTGCCTTGGCCACAGTTCTTTATCCAGATAACCTTCCAGTACTTTATCCACTAACTACTTGTGGACACTAAAATCATCTGCTCTTTTTCACTAACACTGCCTTGTGATGGCCGATAAGAAAAAGTGAAGTGAAGGTGTTAGTTGCACAGTCATGCCCGATTCTCTGCAACCCCATGGACTGTAGCCTGCCAGGCTCCTCTTTTCCATGGAATTCTCCAGGCAAGAATACTGGAGTGGGTAGCCATTCTCTTCTCTAGATCTTCCCAACCCAGAGATTGAACCCGGGTATCCTGCATTGTAGCAGATTCTTCACTATCTGAGCCGCCAGGGAAGCCCTATAAGGGAAAGGATGAAACAAAAATTTAAAAAAAATTCCAAAGAGGAGTCTCATGATCTCACTCTTGTTAGAAGTATGAATAACACTTGTTTGCATGTATGTGTGCTAAGTCCCTTCAGTTGTGTCTGACTCTTTGCGACGCTATGGACCTTAGCCTGCCAGGCTCTTCTGTCCAAGGGATTCTCCAGGCAAGAATACTGGAGTGGGTTGTTATGCCTGCCTGCAGGTGATCTTCCTCACCTAGGGATCAAACCAGAGTATCTTACATCTCCTGCATTGGCAGGCTGGTTCTCTACCACTAGCCCCACCTGGGAAGCCCACATAATACTTTATAATTCAGAAAAATTTGTACCCCCTTCATGAAACCTCAGAACAAACCATTGAGGCTATCGGTGTCATACCCACTTTACAGATGAAGATAGCTTTAGATAAGAGGTGTGGTGTGCAGCTAAATTTCGTGGATTTGAATCCTCCCCTGTTCACATTATGTTGTATTGCTTTCCACCACAACTACTAAGGGACTGTGTTTTTGGCTTGTTTTTCCTTTCTGCAAATCATTTCCTTTGAAATAGTCCCCTCTGGAATAAAAGCTTAGAAAGCTTTTTAGCCTTCTGAGTGTATTTTTTAGGAAATCACGAATTCACTATGCTATTTATCAGTCATGAGTTCTAAAGTGTACAGTACCACCGAGGAAGCAAATGTAATCTGGCAAAGTAATAACTTTACACTCGACAACGCTTAACACAGAAAGGCATTACTGTCTCACCCAATGGGAAGCATCACTGGTGTATAGTGTGCGTTGTGTTGGGGATTCCAGAGGAAGTGGATGTGAACAAGTTTAACGCCCAGATTGCGTAACCCGAACTTTATCTTGTTCATATCTCTCTTAAGTTTCATCTGATGAGCACAAGGTACAAGATCCAGTCCTAACCGCTCTTTCTTTTTTCCCCCCCTTATAGTTGACGTCGGCTGTACTCTCAACAGCCCTTTGCTCTCTTAGCTGCTGTGCTTCCTAGGTTTCTTTTGCACAAAATCTTCCAGACCTGCTCTTTTCTGGACACGCTGGTCCTCTGCACGGTCGGGGGTTGGGTCCCAAGCTTCCATGCCATTCTCATTTGACCTGCCTTAGGACCCTAAAGTATTTCATTGTGCCTGAAAAGCTCCCGGCTCCATCGGTTAACTCTACTTTACTGCGCTCCAGGTTCTCCTGATCGCTTCTCGAGCCCTCCTCAGGGTTCGGTCCGTATTGGTTCCGAGACGCTCAGCGGGAGGACAGCAGGCTCTGCGACTCGTCCTTTTCCGCGATCCAGCTCCGCAGACTTCCAGGTTCCAGGTCTGGCTTCTCATCCCGGACGCGGCGGCTTCCCCACTCTCTCTCTCCAAACAACACACCGGAAAACCTCGGATTGCTGACAACCTTCTCCTTCTAGCCGAGCTGGCGCGCACGCGGGGGGCCGACCCAAAAAGAGTTGGGCGGCCTGCGCATGCGGACTCGGCGGCCGCCAGACAAGCCTCCCCGGGCCGCCTCCCCTCCGGCCGGCCGCGGCAGTTTGGAGCTCCTGACAGCTCCGCCACCGGCGGACGCAGCCTCGTCTCGTGCTTCCACGTTATCCTATCAGAGACGGGGCGGGGCGGCGGCCCCCGCGGCCTATCAGCGCGAACCACGATCCCGGCGAGCCCAGTAGGAGTGCAGCCAGGGAGGAGGCGATTGGGCCGCGGCGGCGCTAGGGGCGTGGCGTAGCTATGGCCCCGCCCGCCGCCGCCGCCGCCGCCACCGCCTCCTTCCTCTGGGCGCCAGCCGCCTTAGGCCTGAGCAAGAGCGGACGGCGGACGGCGGGCGGGCGGGCGGCCGCAGCTGCAGCCTGAGCGCCGCGGCGGGGGGCTAGTGGGCCCCGCAGCTTTGCTCCTCCTCAGCGCCCGCGCTCTCGGACATGGTGGCCCCCGGCTCTGTGACCAGCCGGCTGGGCTCGGTGTTCCCCTTCCTGTTGGTCCTGGTGGACCTGCAGTACGAAGGTGAGTCGTGTCCCGCCCCGGCCCGGAGGAGGCGCGCTCCGGTTAGGGTTGGGGGTGGAGGGGTGGCCAGGCCTCCCGGTGCTTCCCCGCCGAGCGTTTCGGGGCGGCCGGGGCGGGAGCCGGAGACTCCGCGGCCCGGCCTGGGCCTGAGCCCGCCTCAGGGCGGGGGCCGGCGCCCGGTTCCGGGTTTGTCTGGGGGAGAGATGCAGGGAGCGGCGGGCCGCGGGGCCGCGGGTTTGCACTGAGGAGCCGGGCCGGTGGGGTCGGCGGGAAGCGGGGTGGCGACTTCTGGGGAGTCCTGGGGCGCGGAGACACGGGCGGCTGTCCGGTCCCGGGTTCGCCTGGGACCCTCGCTCGGCGCCGGGGGCTCCGGGTCAGCGGTGCTGGGAGGAGGCTGTAAAGGTGGCCCGAGGGGAGGCTTCTTTGGCTTTGGAGTTTCGGGGGCTGGAGGGGACAGTGTCGTGTTGGATGGTAGAAGTGAGTAACCGTCACCCCACTCCGCTCTGGGTTGTGTCTCGAAGTTGTTAGCTTGGTGCGTTACGGAGCCGCTGCTGAAATTCAAGCTCCCGGCGGGCAAGGCTCTTAAAAGTTTGTGGCTTTACAGTTTCCAGTCTGGAGTCACTCAACTTTTCCTTTTACGAGTTCCGTGGGGGTGGGGGTGTGGGGGTTGGGCATCCACTTTTAAGAAGATACGAACGCTAATTTTCACTTAAGTCCTACAGTTTGGCATGTTGGCTGCTCTTAACAGGAAACCGAGGGTTGTCCCGTCTTAGTTGTCAGCAGGCAGGGGCGAAAGCCGCGAGTGCCCATTGATCTGATGCTCCAAGCGTGGTTACCCCGCGAAATATTCGAGTACAGTGACGTTATCTCGTGCACTCATCTGTTTCCAGCCCCGTGAACCAGCTAATAGTCACGGAGGTCAAATTAAACTGTTTAATATTGGATTTCATATTAGAGGGAGTGAGGAGCTGAACGCAGGAATTGTTTCTGGTAAAATCCCTTTCAGCTTATCAACTTATAAAAAAGAGTAGTACTCTCCAATTTTTAGATCTCATTCATGGCAGCATTTTTTTGGAGGGGGGAGTGCGTTCCGGAGGACCATATATATATATATATTTTTTTTAAAATCAGAAACCAGAATATGTGGCATGGCAACATTGGAACAGAGAATTTGGCAGTGAGGCTGCCCCAGAAAAATCTATGGAATTGGAATTGGAATGCCTGGACCATGACCTTTAATATAAGTCATGTATTCCACTTCTTTTACGTATTTTAATGTTAAATATCTCTTGCCCTATGAAGTGTAGTACTAATGTCTAGTTAGCATTAATTAATTTTGGCCAGTTAAGAGAAAGTTGGGCTTCCTTGGTGGCTCGGATGGTAAAGAATCCACCTGTAGTGGGGGAGACCTGGGTTCGATCCCTGGGTCAGGAAGATCCCCTGGAGAAGGGAATGGCAACCCACTCCAGTGTCCTGGCCTGGAGAATTCCATGGACAGAAAAGCCTGGTGGGCTACAGTCCATGGGGTCGCAGAGTTGGACACACCTGATGGACTGATACTTCACTTTGAAGAGAAAGTTGCCTATGTTCTGCGTAATGTGAGTTATTTTTTTAAGTTACACAGATATTCACTTTTGTAAGATTTGCCTTTTCCACTGGCTTATAGGCTGCCTTTTTAGAATCACTGTTCTGTATATGATTCTGTAGGACTTTAACACTTCATGTCTGTCTTGTGGCATTTCCCAGAAGGAAAACCTCACCCAAGAACTCTTCACCTAATGTGGAACGCATTGGTGACATTTCACAGAGGGGTGCCAAAGTGCTGTCTTCTTTGGGGTATTGTCTGTGTGAAGTAGCCAGGACTTGGTCCAGGTGGTAGAGAAGAAAGGAAAAGTTCTTAAACTTATTGACGGTGCCTGGCACTCTCCTGGGCACCTTCTGTAAGCTCTCTCCTATTCATGGAGGTACAAGGTGTTATTTCTACTCTACAGATGAGGAAACTGAGGCTCCAAGAGTTTAACTTGGGTAAGGTCACATAGCTGTTAACTCTAAGAGACATAAGTTGAACTCACATTATTTGACTCTGAAGTTCATCTTGCTTGTGGACTGGAGACAGAAGTTAAGTGGCTGAGGGTATCCTGTGGGCCCAAGCACTTGTAAGTAGTGGCAGCTGAGAAAATTCAGCCTTTCTGTTTGTGTTTGCCACCAGCAGTAATGAACAGGAAGAGGATTTCCTGACATCTTTAATACAGTGGTTCTCAAGCTTGAGTCTGTGGTCACCTGGATTCCTTTTTAAACACAGTGCTGAGCCTCACTCCCAAAGTCCTTGATTCAGTAAGTCTAGGTGGGACCTGAAATTTTGAATATCTAAAAAAGAATCACTGGTATAATAAGTTATGCAGTGGAGTTAAATTAGGTATCTGTTGTGTAAATCAGGTATCTATTTTATTTGATGGAGATATAAAGATAGGAAAGAAACTTTGACAGCAAGCTGTTAGCTCCAGTTTTCCCGAGTAAGCTGTGTGTCTGAATTTTCTAACCTAAGTCTTTCTGGAGGCATTTAGGACTGCGTGATTCCACTCTTGGGCCCAAGCCTTGGAGGCAGAAGAAACAGAACAGGTGTGAGAAGAGTGAATATGAAACAAAGAGTTGTATTGCAGTGTCCCCAATAATTAGCTTAGGGGGCCTAGTTTTGTCTGATTTAAAATTTTTTTTTTTTTCCTAGGCTTTTCTGTAAATTGTAATTCAGAGAAGTAAGCTATTTAATAGGCTCATGAATTGAAATGTTAAATCTTTTAGCACCCCTTTTCAAAAAGGCCTTTGAAAGAAAGAAGTCCCAGGCACTAGTTTAGGAATAGAATTTTTGGAGCAGAAGGAAAACTTTTGTAGTGTCTACTTTGGTATTCTTATGTTACAGATAAGGAAACTATTTTAATTCTCTGCTAATAGTGTGTTCTATTTGGTGATTTAAGTGGGAACATAACCTGGGAACCAAACCTTCTTTTATCTCTTTCTTCCTTAACATTCTTTCTGAACTCAATTTATCTTTATTTCAGTGAACTGGCCTGACAAAACCATAAACTTTGGACACTGGGAAAAGAATAGTTACAAAAGATGGTGATACTTTTTATATGAACTGTGCTCGCTAGGATTTTCTTGACATTATTTAAATATGAAGATAATAAGTAAAATAGCAAAAGCAAAGGACTTTCAGTAATTTGTATACCCCCTACCCCTTACCTGTGGTTTCTCTTTTCTTGGTTTCGGTTACTTGTGGTAAACTGTGGTGTGAAAATATTAAATGGGAAATTCCCAAAATAAACAATTCATAAGTTTTAAATTGCAAACCTTTCTGAAGAGCATGATGAAATCTCACGCAGTCTTGCTCTGGCCATGAATCATCTCTTTGTCCCCTGTATCCAGCCTGTCAGTTAGTAGCCATCTGGATTATCAGCACTGTTGCAAGGGTTGTGTTCAGGTAACCCTTCTTTTACTTAATAATGGCCCTAAAGTGTAAACCTAGTGATGCTGACAATTGGGAGTGGATATGCCAAGAGAAGCTGTAAACTGCTTCCTTTACGTGAAAAAACTCTATGTCTTAGTGAGGAAAGAAAACAAAACAAAACTGTATGCTAGGTTGCTAAAATCTGTGGTAAGAATCAATCTCCTATCTGTGAAATTGTGCAAAAGGAAAAAGTAACTTGTGCTCGTTTGCCTCTTGCACCTCAGACTACAGAAGTTGTGGTCACAGTCTGTGATAAGTGCTCAGGTAAGATGGCAAAGACATTACATTTGTACAATAAGATATTTTGAGAAGAGGGCACCACATTCACATCTTTTATTATAGTATATTCCTATAATTGTTCTATTTTACTTTTGTTGATTTCTGTGTCTGATTTATAAATCAGCCTTATCATAAGTGCGTATGAATAGGAAAATATAATGTGTATATAGTGTGTGTGTGAAAGTCGCACTCAGTCATGTCTGACTCATTGCATGGAATTCTCTAGGCCAGGATACTGAAGTGGGTAGCCTTTCCCTTCTCCAGGGGATCTTCCCAACCCAGGGCTTGAACTCAGGTCTCCTGCATTGTGGGCAGATTCTTTACCAGCTGAGCCACAAGGGAAGTCAAAGAATACTGGAGTGGGTAGCCTATCCCTTCTCCAGGGGATCTTCCCGACTCAGTAATCAAACCAGGGTCTCCTGCATTGCAGGTGGATTCAAATTACCAAATGAGCTATCAGGGAAGCCCTAAATGTGTATATAGGGTTCAGTACTGTCTGTGGTTTTGATATCCACGGGGATTTTGGAATGTATTCCCTGAGGATAAGGGGGAACTCCTGTAAACTAAGTATTCTAGCAGACTGTCAGGGAGCTTCTAGAAAATTATTTTAAATTCATTTAGTGATATAGGCTATTATTTGGTAGTAGTGTCTAGGTCCCAATTCACTTGACTAGTTAGCACTTACTGAGCGAGTGCCCAGAAATGGGGTAGTTTAGTTTCTGTGGGATGGGGGGAGTTGTGCTGAGATGGAATGGCTAATCGTCAATAGGCTTTACTTTTCCATATGAAGTTAATGAATTGTGGTTAAGTTTAATTTCTGTTGCCATAGTGTTCCTTTGATTATTGTCCGGTTATTAATCTTTGTTTGTATGGAAATATCATGGGAACACAGTCACCTGCTCTTAAGAACAAAACATGATGTCAACCATAAATTGATTTTTCAAGATCTTTGGGATGCTGCTTTTTAAGTTTTTGAAGATAAGTTTTAAAAATCTGATGAGTCTCAGTTATTCAGAATTCTAGAATATGGAGAAGACTGATTTAATTGGTTAGCAGAGGCTTCACCATAGTGTTCTTTATAGGTGAGATACATGCAGTATAGAACTCTTGGTTTTGGTCTTTGCATTTGTAGACAACTTGGGGATATAACACATGTTTTGTGAAACATCTGTGTTCTCTTGCTACTTGCTCAATGTGGATTTTGTGATCCGTCTTG